TCTGCCTACAATGCGGGAGATCTGGGTTTAATCCCTGGGTTGGGAAGAGCCCCTGGAGAAGGGAAAAGCTACCCACTCCAGTATTCTGGCCTGGAGAATTCCATGAACTGTATAGTCCATGAGGTCGCAAAGAGTTGGACACGACTGAATGACTTTCATGCATAATTTTTTTTCTTCTTGAGGATCCTCCTTTCTACCCCTCACCTCTACCCAAGTTATCTAAGCCTCAGGTTTCATATTTAGTGCCAAGGGCACCTGCTAAGGTGGTGCAGTCTTGGGAGAGAAGTAGGGATCAACAGCATCCCACAGGGTACAATCCCCTGAATAATATTCCATTGTGTGTGTGTGTGTGTTTGTGTATATATATATATATATATATATATATATATCTCACAACTTCTTTATCTGTTCATCTACCAATGGACACTTAGGTTTGTTTCCATGTCTTAGCTACTATAATCATGCTACTATGAACATGGTGGTGTAGATATGTCTCACTATGATTATATATATGGTACTGAGATAGCTAAACATTAGCACCAAATATTTTATGCTCAACAAATTAGTAAAATGAATTTTTTAGGTCCAAATTAGAGCCAAGGGGGCTTGGGAAATTTGTCTGGGCGGCTATCTTGCTTTGTCAAAGCTCACTTACAGGATTGTTCACCCTAATCTTGCACAAATTAAAGGCTTTGTAATTAAACACATTAGAACGTTTTCAAGTTGTCAAGGTAGCAGGAAAATCGTAATGACAATAATTATATTGTATCTAGAAACTGTGCTTGAAGACTATACAATTAACACTATGTCTTCCTGTTACACTAAAAGATGTCAACATTGTCATAATTTAAAAATTACATTATTTACTGCCCACCCTTACTCTAACATAGTATGAGCTGTAAAATAGGTATAGGGATGCAGCAGTGAAGCAAGGAAGTCTAGGGGCACTTTCATTACTAAAATCAGTAATGGGAAAATATCCTATGTCCAACAATTTGCATACTTAGAATGGGATGAATTTGCTTGTGTGTTGGGGGAAGTGGTGATACAATTTTTTCCCATTTAGCAGAAACTGACTCAGACGGGGTTCAGTAATTTCTACTGTTGCATTTCAGAGATGAAATGACTGAAAATGAAAACAGAACCCAGAAATTCTGACTTTTAAATCTATATTTGTCCCATGTAGAAATAATGTGAAATGTCAATTACAGTGCCTACTGTATAGTGGGCTGTTAGAAGTGGAAGCTGTTATTAGTTATATAATAAGACCTGGGAAAAAAATGATTTTATTTTGTATTCACTTGCCAAACAGAGGAGTTTTGAGATTACTCTTATCAAAGGAAAATAAAAATTATTTGGCAATATTATTTGAACTCTTGATTAGAGAAGTGTGGAGGGAAAATGGGAAAGAGTTTGGGTTGTGTGAATGTTTTTTTACTTATCAACATCAGGCTCAGAACTGGGGTTTTCTGCGTTGAACATACCAGCAGTCACATCTTCAGAATGAAAGGTTTTAAAGCATATTCCTCTGCAAATCATTTCACTCTGTTCTCAGGATTTGTCAGGCTTCTCTGCTACTCTTGCCTAATGTCAGATTAAGAAGATAAACAATTTTAAAACATACCAAGGGAATATTTCAAAGGAATTTTGTATATAATGATTTCTCTTTAGCCAAATGAATAGTTTTAATTACTTAAAATATGTGCATAGATCACCATGTGAGAATGTTCTTGATCCATAATCTCCTGTCTTTTCCTCAGTGGAACAGATGCCAAAATCTTTGCATTGACTGTAAACCAAACGAAGTTGCTACTTAATTAGCTGTAGTGACCTGGTAGCCTGAACACAAATGGTCCTTTTATTTTCAGCCACTCCAGTGATTTCCAGCAGATGAAGAGCCTGAAACGTTCTGGCTGTCTGGAGAACCTATAACTGAAAGTCAGGTGAGTACCCTCTAAAAGAAGAGAGTCCTCTTCAAGAGATCCTTATAACCTGATGAGCAATTTATAAAACACTGAAGAGGAGGCCCACAAGCCTCAAAGACAGAAATCTATGAAGAACTGACTTGATGCCTATTCTTGGGTGAGTCATATGCCCTTCTCCCCTTTTGGCCCCTCCATTTGTAAAAATAAGGGTGATGTTTTTATGAGATATTATCATGAGGTCTATTTAAATGTGTGGCATAGTGACTGAGGACACTGGCTTGGAGTCGGAAAGACCTGAACTTAAATCCTTGGTTTATTACTTATCAATGCTCGCTTTGAGCAGGAAACCTCTTTATATCTTATTTTTGTTGTTTGTAAAATTGGGGTAGTTATTGTTCCTATCTAATGGGGTCATTATGAAGATTAACTAAGGTGTCTGGAATATCACAATAATTCAATAATTATTAGCTCTTATTTATAGAGTACCCTAAGCTTCTTATAGGAAAAAAACCCGTATAATTCAAAATCCAAAGTATTCAATTGGCAGATAGGTTTGGGAACTCAGTTTCAGTTTTAAGTAGATTTAAATAGGCTTCCGCTTTCAATGAGCACTATATGCCAAATTACTTCAATTTTCTGTGTGAAATTCACACATTTTCTAGTTATTTTTTATATGCTTGTAGAATTACAACCATCAAGGTTATGTGATTATGTGTCACATTCATCTGCATAACATTGCTCCCTCTCTCGTGATAATTTCCCTGTGAAATACTAGGACTAGATGAAGCAAAGGGGGGAATTATTAAATTATCAAGCCCTGAACTAGTCAAACTTGACTGTTCTTTGAGATTCTCAGCCACATTCATTTTCAATAATGTAATTTCAAATTAATGATCTTAGCTTCTTAGGTATATGTTTGTGAATGAGACCTAGAAGGAAACTTTATAAGTAACTGAAAAGTGATGATTGAAAGATACAGTTTTCCTTGGTTTGAACTGTTACCTACAGGGGTTAAGACACTTCAGAAAGTCTAGGCAGATAGGACACGCTGGTGCACAGATGACTGAGGGACAAATAGATGGCGAAGCATAGCCCAGAGGAAGTTGGAAATGAGAAAAGGCAGGATTGGGAGAGGGTGGCTCAAAGAGAGACTGCTGGCCAAGACAGGAAGTGGCTGGATGAGCGTGTTGGTTTGAAAAAGATCAGTCTATGCAGATGTGCGCTGCCAGCTCTGTTTCTGATGTCAATGAGCAGAAGTCGCTCTAGTCTGCTCCTCCTCCCTCTGTTACCTCTCTACTGTGGCTGAATCCTGCTTCCTTCCTCCCCTCATAGCTCCATGCCTTTCCCAGCTGGAAAGTTGGAGCATTGGAGTTGTTTACCATTAGATTCAGAGCATAATGAATATTTGAGCTGAAAGATGCATGCCTATTCGAGGAATAATCCTGACTATCATATTCTCCACAACCACTGAATACTACTTTTGATAAGGAGATCACCTCATGAATTGCATATAACAATAAGCTGCTTATTTTTAAACAGCTTTATTGAAGTATAATTGACATATCATAAAATCTATTTTAAATGTACAATTTAATGACTTTTTAAAATAAAGTCATAGGGTTGTGTAATCATTACCACAATCCGGTTTGAGAACATTTCCAATTACCCAAAAGATCTCTTATGCTTGTTTTTAGTTATTCCTCATTCCTACCCCTAACAACAGGTGGTCACCAATATGCCTTCTGTCTTTATAGATTTGCCTTTTCTAGACATATACATGAAGTCATCCAATATGTCTTTTATATCTTTCATTTAGCATGATATCTTTGAATTTCATCCTTGTTTTTATCATGCATCAGTAGTAGTAGTTTTTTTTTATTGCTAAAGAGTATTTCCATCGTCCAAGCACACCTGATAGACATTTGAATTGTTTCCAGTCTTTTGCTACTACAAATAAAGCTGCTGTGGACATTTACATATATGTCTTTGTGTAAATATATGTTTTCATTTCTCTTGGGTAGATTCCTAACAGCAAGATTGCTGATGGAGATGGTATGTTTAACTGCTTAAGAAACTGCCAAATGATTTTTAAAAGCAAAATATAAATTTTGCATTTCCACTAGCAATGAAAGAGGGTTCCAGTTTCTCCACATCCTTGGCAACACTTAACTATTGTCTGTCTTTTGAGTTATATCCATTCAGTAAGATCATAAGCATCCTAAAATGACCAGAAATCACTTATCAACTTGAAACAGGCCGTTTGGTGTCCATTTAAGAAGAAATGGAATGCTTATTAGCTATTTCTTGTTTTGATCAAACAATTAGAATAAGTGTGTGTGTGTGCGCGTGCACACACACACCCCTAGCCCTTGATATGAGCAAAGGTAGAGGCTCGGCGCGGATTGTCTTCTCCACCCGGCCAAGAGGCCAGCTTCTTCTCCTCTACAGCTCTTCCTCTGCTCCAGAAAATTGAAACAGATCCCTTTAGGCTGAGCCTCTCATACCCCGTGGTATTATTCCAAAGAAAACAATCAAAAAAATTCAGGGAAATCATTTATTGATTTTCTTCCTATAATGATGGAATTAGGTGATAAATAATGCAAGCAGAAGCAAAGAGAAGAAAGTAGAGAACCCAACATTTGTCAGTTGCCCATGTACTGAATATGAGATAAGCCTTTTCATATTTTTCACATCATGAAATTCTCATAATCTTTGATATAATTTTATAAATCACTGTTTCATGGTCACAAAGTGAAAGCGCAGAGTTTAGGTCGATTGCATAAGGTTGCACAGTGAGTGAAGTTAGGTTTTAAGCCCAGGTCATTAGTTCTGAGATGATTTTATTTCATTATACCAACTGACAAGAAATAAACAGGAAAGGAAATTTTTAAGGAACAGGGAGTAAAAAGTTCATGTAAATGTTAACTACTGAGAGAATGTAACAAGATTTATAATGGTCTAAATTATACAACCAACAATTGGTTTGCGGTGTGGGGGTTCTGTTATTTCCCATGCTTTGATGCCTATGACATATAGAATCCAAACCCTGGGGACTAGGAATCAAACTCAAAGCTTCAGGAAGGATGGGGAGGAATGGTATTCCTGCTTACTGATTTTCTCCCAGCTAAGAAAAGGTTGTTCATTCTGAGCACTTGCCCAGATAGTGCAGAGAAAATCCACAGAGACATTTTTACCACCCAGGGTGAGAAACTGAAAGCTTCCAGAATTAAACTAGTACATTTTTTTGAGTAACAGTTCTGCTTCCCTTGGATAAGCAGAATCTTTGCTGATGTCATCACCACCCACCACCACCTGGCATCCCTGCATGGTGGTGGTCAGAGCACTGGAGAAATGGGTGGAGCATTTAGAAGAGATTACTTGGAGGAGCTGTCTCAAAGAATCACATTTACAGATTCTACAGAGAGGCCTCCTTAATCTCTGTCTTTAGGAAGAGTTGATGTATGTGTCTCTTACTCCATCTTTTTCCATAAATGTTTATATGGTAATAATGAAAGGAAAAGAGGTTACTCATCTTTAGGATGCCTAGTTTCAAAGGAAATGGCACTGCCTCCTTTAGTCCTGTTGCTTAGAGCGTCAGGTTAGGGGTTGATCATGCTTAGGTTGGGGATATATGAAGGGGACAAGGAATAAGCGATGAGAATATGAACAATATTCTGTGAAATTACCTTTTCTCTAACAGCCAATACAGCTCTAGTATTTGGGGATTATCTAGATTTTTGCCAGTTAAAGTCTTCAAATTTTAGGGCTTTAAATTAAATCCTGACTGACAGCAATTTGTTACTCAGCTCATATTATCGATATGTACTTAATAGCTCTTATCTTTGAATGGTAATAAAAATACCAGTGTACGCCACAGGATCTCAGAGTGAGAAGAAAAACCAGCAAAAGAGGTTACAAGGTGCTTTGCCAGAACAAATGTTTATTGATGTACCCAATAAAAACACTAATAATAGTAGCACAGATCAATGCCACTTCCCAAACTAGATTCCAAAACATATTAATAGGTGATCTGGGGTGGTGGGAAAACCCAACTCCATGATCAAAGATATTTGGGAAACACTGAGTGGAATTTGTGCAACACTTTAATGTATTAAATGTGCACTCTCAGCCTTCAAAAGGGGGAGAGCATATGGGGATTTTCTGAGCTGCTTGAAAAGACAAACATTTAATCACAGGAACATGTTGTAAAACATTTGGGGGTAAAGATGACATGGAAAATTTGCTATTGCTTCAAGGATATATTTCCTTGTCTTATCCAAAGTTCACATATTCAGACCACTCTTCATTTCACCTACCTTCTGCCTACTATCTCCAGGAAGGACTCAGATTGGTAAACATATACAGCATAGGAAGACACTGAAAGAGGAATGGTATCTATGATCCTTTCTAAATCTGAATTATCTTCTGAAAGCCGAGAGCCAGACTGATTGAGGCACTGGTTAATGGTGGTTTCATGTAAAAAGGAAATTCTTCATTAAAAAACAAAACTAAAAAGCAAACAAACAAAAACTAATTTATATAATAACTACATGCAGTGCATGGGACTTGTTTGGATCTGGATTCTAACAAACCAAGTATAAGAAAATATTTGGGGGATGAGTGAAAAGTCTGAAGTTTAAGGAATTATAATTATTGTGTTAAGCATGATAATGGTATCTGGTGCTCTAAGGACATATGCTTAGTAGTTTAGTGTGGAATATCATGATGTTTAGGATTTACTTTAAAATAACCCAGGGAATTCCCTGGAAGTCCAGTGGTTAAGACTCCTTGGTTTCACTGCCAAGGGTGCAATTTCAATCCCTAATCAGGAACAAAGATCCTGCAAGTCACAAGGCATGGCCAAAAAATAAAAATAAAAAAATAGAGGAAGCAAATATGGCAAAATATTAATAACTATTCAGTTTAAGTAATGGAATATAGAGAGTTCTTATATTTTGTTAGTTTGAATATTTTTTATGATAAATAGTTTTTTTTTTTTTTTCCTTCTTAATGCAGAC